AGTGCTGTTACTGGTTCGGTGAAGGTGAATTGTTGGAAAACTTCACTGCTTTCTTTATTGTGATTGGTGATTCCAAGTTGAGAATTCTGCAAATATTTAGTTGGCTCTGAATTATTATCTCTTATGCAGACAGCTGCATATGCGATAGCTACACTAGAAAGGCTGTTGTTCCGTCCAAAACGGGGTTCCAGCAATAAGAGTAGTTATTCTTACTCCAGCAAGAGAGTTGGCGGTCCAATAAGTGTTGGGCTTGGCTTCTTTTTAACAGACACCCATGCATTGGGCATCATTTAGGCTTTATCATGCTTATGTTCCATTGAATTTTTTATTTTTTTTCCCCTTCTTATTTGTATATTACAGGGTTTATAGCATGATAGAGAAACTTGCTCAGTTGACTGACATTAGATGTTGCTTGGTAATTGGTGGGCTTTCGCTAAAGGTTTGACTACTCACATTCTTGACTTAGAATTGGATTTAAAGCAAATATCTATCTCTGTATGAAACAAATAGATTTTTCTTTACAATGTTCTCAATTTTTCTGTCTTCCTCATGTTTTTCATTTATTTTCTTTAACCAAGTTGTAACGCGCTTCTTATAATTATACTGCTGTTTTAATAAGAAATTCAGTTTCCAGTTTTTCTAAGTATATCTACTTCCATGGTTATCTTTCCTTCAATTATAATTTTGAAAGATCTTTTATCTGATGCAGTCTAATGGTTGGGGAGTGTTTCTCAGCATTTTATGTGAGCAACAGTAATAGTTTTGTTGCTACAACTTCAATTCCTAGCTTGGTTTCATACCTTAAACTTGTTTTTTTATTTGGAGTTTGTAGTGTCATTTATATTTAAATAATTACAATTTGTTTACAGGTTCGCCTATGTCCTAAAAGGAGAAAAACATTGTTGTTTTCAGCTACAATGAGAGAAGAGGTTGATGAGCTTGTCAAGCTTTCTCTGAACCGACCAATTCGTGTCTCTGCTGATCCATCTGCAAAACGTCCATCAACTTTGACTGAAGAGTAATACCTGTCTAATTTCTCAATCTAACGTCTTGGCAATTCTTTCTGGTGTTTATGCTGACTATTTTGTCTATAGGATTTTCCTGTGCAGGCTAGTTAGGGTACACGGCATGCGTGAAGTAAATCAAGAAGCTGTTCTTCTTTCACTGTGCTCAAAGACCTTTACATCCAAAGTGATCATTTTCAGGTTTTAATATTTTTCAGATAAGCTTTACTTCGTAGTTAGTCATTTCTTTTATCTTGGGAATTTCATGTTGCTTGTTTATATTTTTACTTACCATCTGGTGATTTTGTCACAATTTCTTGCAATTTATGTGTCTTTTCTTGAGAATTCGGTTTCCTTCTTCTTCTTCTTCTTCTTTTGTGTTCATTAATTCATTTTAGCTGCTTGTGCTGGAGCTCCCAGATTGTATTAATTTCGCAAATGATTTTGAATTTAATAAGCAGAGGAACCAAGCAAACAGCACATAGGTTGAAGATTTTATTTAAGATGTCTGGCCTTCAAGCTGCTGAGCTTCATGGGGATCGTACTCAAGTCCACCGTCTTGATGTAAGTAGAATGCATATATTGTGTTTGTTCTGTGAATTGTCCATGCCTAACTTGTTGATTAATTTCTTTATGAATTGCTCCAGCAGAAATATGGATATTCTTCTTTTTACTCAAGGCTGCATTCAAAATCATTCGATGTGATGTTCTTGTAAGAATGAAAATTAGGCTTACCTGAAGCCTATATTTAGTGCTAGAGACATGTATTTCCCCTTTTTATCTGTCACGATTTTCGTTCATCCCAAGTTTTTCTCAGCATTAAATGATGCTTTATTCTCGGACTTTGTGCTTGCTATCTCATGTTTTCCAAGTTCTTCACTTTAAAATTAAATCTACACATAATGCAAGGGAAATGGGAGGCTCAAACTATATTAAATTCATATTAGATCAAAACGTACTAGTTTATTCCATCACATACATTGGCATGTAATACTCATAATTAGCTGCATGGTGGCCGAAAAATTGTGAAGGATGGCATATCTCTGGTTGACTTAGCTTACCGGCGTGCAAAAGCAAAGGCTGTGAAGAAGGCAGTAGATGCTGGCAAAATGGTTAAGAAACCCAGAAAGAAATCAAAGCACCCTTCGCAAAAAACTCAGTCAAGGACAGAGGAGATGCGAGAGCTGTTCCAAGATGACATGAGTGAAAAGAAGAAGAAGAGCACATTAATATATTTCCTTTTCGTTTCTCTGATCTGAGTTCGTGTTTCAACCTTCAAGCCCTTTATTCTCCTACTATGGTAATACGCCTAAATTTGAATCCATCATTTCTGAACTCTATATTCTTGGGATAATCTTTGTTGTTGCCACTTGTCATAAGTGATTGCAGTAAAATTTTGCATCATGTGTCTGTCACTACTGTTATGCTGCCTCGGCCTACTTACTTATTTATTTATTTTTCATTACAAGTTGCTGGGATACCATTTTTACATAATCTTCTTCTTCTTCTTCTTCTTCTTCTCTTCCCTTTTTTTTTTTTTTCCCCCCTTTTTCAGTTACAAGCGCAGGTAGAACAATAGCAATCGACAACCAAAATCTCCTGCTCTCTGTCTCGGTGGTAAATCGACCCATGTATCAATATGGTTCATACAATGGGTATTTTCCGGTCTCGAGAGCACGAGGTGCTTGCTGCAAGGAGTCAAGTGATTTCATAATGGGCACACAACAATGAGATAGATGGAGATCAGGCTGAAAGAATAACGGATTATTTTAGAGGGTCGCATTCCAGATGCCGTGGTTCAGTAACCACTTGCTATCTCGAAGAACAGCCTGTGATTTGTACTCTTAAATTTTAGATTTAATACTCTCCATTAACACATCTAACATATTAACTTCTAACCATTGTTATTATAAAAATAAAAATAAAAGGACTATTTTAGATGGCCATCTTCCTCAAGTGGACGTGCCGACGTGCATTTTACCGTCCTATACAAGCTGCATTGTCCCATAGAAAGTATAATGCTCATTTGCATTTCGGCTACCGTTGACCGTGGTCCAATTTTGACCATTTTTTGAAACATAAGAATTGCATAGTGTAACCTTTATGACATGAAATTAAATTGGAAAAATTCTTTTGTAGTGGGTTCCTCATATTTTTTTCTTTAAATTAAGTGAAAGTGAAATTTTAAGTTCTATAAAATAAAACTATTTTAATTAAAATTCTCATAAGTATATTAGAATTTTTTAAAAGGTGTTACTATTTTTTTTGGTAAATAATTAAAATATTAAGTATATATTAATTTTTATTAAACAAATATTAAAATTTTTAATTTGAACAACAAGTGAAACTCTCTCTAATCTTTTATAACCTTGATTAATGATTTTTATTTTAATAATTGAATCTAATTCAAAATTTTAGTTTTGATTATCATTTTTTTTAACCTGGTTCATTCACTTAATAAATTTCTTTTAATCTTTTTAAGCAAAAAAAAAAAAGTTCTTTTACTATTAATCAAAGAAAAATATTTCAATTAATTAAAATTTCAACTGAATTAATAAAAAAATTATTTTAAATATTGAGTAATTTAGAATTGAAAAAAATACATTCACTTCTAATAATAAAATAAATACTGAAAAAATTGTGTAGAAGAATTTTGATTGCTATTTTTTAATTTTATGATAATTTGTTTAATTAATATTAATAAAAATTTAATATTTTAACTATTTCATATAAAAAAGTATTATAGACATTACAAAAATTTTTAATATACTTATAATGAATTTATTAGAGCATTTTTACTTATATAAGATTACAAATTGTATCTTCACTAAATAATAAAAATAAATTTAATAGACACACCATAAAAATATTTTTCCAAATTAAATTACCCGTGGAAGGGTATGCGTGGGAGCAAATTCATATTTATTTGAGGACATGTAACATGCGATAATTTTTTCAACTTTCTAGTAGATGATATTTGATTTCATGGTCAGGAATTCTAACATGGGAAAGGGCTGATATTGTGGAAATAATTGAGCTCAAACGGGAAAGGGGAGTGTGTATAAAGAAAACGGAACAGTGCAGTGCCCAGCAGTTTCTAGCTGCCAATGGCACCATGAAACTAGAAAATGTAAAGCTGTCAATTTATAAACCGAACTGAAATTTATTCTGCTAGAGTGAAAATGTAGAAAATTTTTAAATTTCTTTCACATATAAGGAACATAAGTTAAAGCTACATGTACCGAGACTTCTATGGCTGAAATTGCCTTCTATGAAACATGGGGAAAAAAAAAAAAAAAAAAACCCAAGAAAATAGTACAAAACTAAAACAATTAAACCTAATTTTTGCCACCTATGCGATCCAATTTCCTGAAGAATCATATTACAATTTATGCTTCCCTGAGTTTTATTTGGTTCATACTCCACTCACAAGAAAGCCAATTGGCTCTTGCTTCTCAAGATATCTTCGGCAATGCAAGCATCAGTTTATAGCTTGATTGGTTTTCTGAACTGATCCCAAGTAAGGAAGGAGCAAAGAGATAAATAACCTTTCTAGTTCCGTGGAAATTGCTGTCTGGAGTTAAATGGGTAAGATTCCCATCCACTGTCTGGTTCCTTCCTTTTCTCACCAACCCCAGAACTTGGGGTCTGAGGATTGACCCTCGGATGATCTTCAATTGACCTGCTGCTTTGAACAGGTAAGAAAGGTTGCCTTAGACCCATAGGATCTCTATGTCCTCCCTCAATTGCAAAACCAGAATTCAGATCAATATTAGGCTGTGAGGAAACAGCACCGTTTAAACTCAGGGATGCTCCATTTATGTTCATGACAAATGGTGGTTGAGAGTACGAATGAACAGCAGAGTTCACAATTTGAGGCACAACAGGGGCTCCTCTTGAATTGACCATGTAAGGGATTGAGCCACCAGCTCCGTACATGGCAGAAGAAAAGGGCATTGTTGGTGGTGTTGTCAATCCATTATAGCCAAAAACAGGAGAATGGGTGAATGACACAGTAGGACCCAACCCAAGAATGCTTCCCGTTCTTGTAACATTTGTATCCACTGCAGCATCAAGAGCCTTGCCATTGGACAAGGATGGAACATGAGAACTAAAGTCCTTATTCACTTCCACTTTGGTACCCATGATAGATATAACGGGATAATCTGGTTTAGGCCCTCGATATGTATGTAGATTTTGGGTAGAACTACCATGATAAGTATCAGACAAATCAATCTGAATAACTGGTCTGTCATTCAAATCAATGTTCCTCAGTGAGAGCTGCATCGATGATGAAGAAGAAGCAGGAGATGGACTGCGATGGCCAATTCTGTTGTGAAAGAACTGCCTGTCAACTCTTGAATCTGATGGTGGAGCATCACCATCTTCACTGGTGCGATTTAAATCCAAGGCAAACCTTTCTGATCTTCTAGGACTCGGTTCCTGTGAAGATTCTGCAGAGAGGAGGCCAGATGAGGCTGTAATTTGTTTCCCCAACATCAGATCAGCAGCTTTATCATCTCCATCCTCAGAAACATTAAGATCGAAATCAAGAAAATCTGATCTATGTTTTGAGCTACTACTACTTGTACCCCCAACACACAGCATTTTATCACCATCAGAGTTTCTGTGAGGCGATGCTGGATGAAAGGCACTAGTAGAAGCAGATCCTTTCCACCCAAGAGCCCCCTCAAACTGCAAAGGACCTGCAGGTAACCCAGGATCCACTGCCACCTTGGAAGTAGACACAACAGATGTGGCAGCAGAGATGGAAGTCACTGGATGCTCCATATCGTCAGAACAGACTTCTTGATTCAGATCAAAATCACATATGCTTTTCTCAGAATTAGGTTCTGGTTCTTGAGCAAGAGTCACTTGCGATGACTCCACATCATGCGTGGCATTTTCTGGTTTGGTGCCCAGATTATCTGAACTAATTGAGCACTCCTCCCTAGAATGTGTCTCAGCAGAATGATCGGATCCTGTTGAAACCTCCTTCAGCTGAACCTCGGGGGCTGACTCTTGTTTTCCATTTATAGAGTCTGGGGAGCCCGGCTTCCTTATTCCACCTTCTGAGATTTTTTCTGAAGAACTGCATGAAGGCTCTTGGCAACCTACCACTTCTCTCTCCACTTCTAAAGCAACTTTTCGAGCAACTTCTAAGGGGTCAACCAACCCATACTCAAGTCCAATGTCAGATGTTCTTTTTTTATTCACATCAGAACTCCTAGTTCTTTTTTTATTCACATCAGGACTCCTAGTTCTTTTTTTATTCACATCAGGACTCCTAGAACCCATTGACCGTTTAGAAGATTTTGTACTCCTCAATATTTCACTTCCATCACTAGAATGTCCCTTGTCTTCATCAGCAGCTCCAATTTCTTCTATCCTGGAAACAGAAGTGTCTAGATCTTCATGTTTTCCATATAAGTTATTTCCACAAGACCCTTGCAACCTGTCAGTGTTATTCTCCATGTCTTGACCTATCATCTTTAAGAGAGATGTACTGCAATCAACCTCCGAGTCATCCATCTCAGTCTTTAGCTCAGATGGAGCTATCCTCACATCAGAAGCAGGAGCTTCCAGACAGTCATTCTTGTTGGCATCAGCACTATTTTGCAACTTGGCTTCTGTTGTAACCTCCTCAGCAATGGCAACACCAGCTCCAGAAGAAACTACATGCTCCACTGAATAAGAGGTAGAAGCTGCCACACCCAATTTCTGCTGAAGACCTGAAACTTCATCACTTTCATGCTTTGAAACTACATAATTGCAAGTCTCAAAAGATGCAGTTCCTTCTGCTCCTGTTGGGAGATTTTCCTCTGTAGAAGAATTTTCTTGAACAGGTTTTGACATCAATGAGGGCAGATGATTAGGAGATCCATCCTCTTTGCTTGTATGGTCAGAACTTAAGTGGTATGGGAGCTCACTTTTAGAAGTTTCAATTTGTGAATTTATAGACATTTCCGGCTGAAGACCATCTTGGCTTCCTGATGGAAGGTTTCCAGCTTTGGCAGCAACTGCTTCATCAGTTTCCTGATTACAACTTCCCTTGGATAGAGACACATCCACTGCTGAACATTCTGGCATGCTATTTTCCCCAGTACTTGTCGCATTGTCTGTAATTTCATTATCAAGAACGGCTCCAACATGCTCCACACCAATGTCAACAGCATCAGTAACTGCATCTTGATTCCAGCTACCAAGAAGCCCTCTTGCTTTGTCCTGAACCCGAGAGCTACTGTGGCCAAGAAGATTCTTCACTGTCATCCAGATACCTGAAGAAATGGACCTCTCATTGTCTATATGCAGCCTTTCAAGTGCTCGTAGCAATGCAGTAATTGATTCTTCTACAAAACTGTCGCTTGTGTCCTTACTAAACTCTAAAGCATCCCTGAGCCATTGATCAATAAAATAGAGTCCATCTAACTGAATAAAAAGATCAAGACAATCTTTATTGTCAGTAGCAGCAATTGTACTTGTAACAGCAGTCCACTGCCTGGTTGCATCACTTACATTCTTCACAACAGAATCCTTCTCCCTCTTCATCACAGTTAGAAGCTCCTCAACTCGAGAAGGGGCAGTAAGCCCATCCTTCATCTCAGTCAGGGTAAAGAAATCTTCCAGCGTCATAGTGCTTTAGACACGACACATCCAAGCATATAATAAGTCACTGAGACATGCTGAGAATATGCCTTCCATCTACAATTAGGCTGAGGTTTCACGACAATATTTCAAAGAAACCTGCAGAATGGCACAAAGTAAAAATGGCTGAGTATGCAGCTAGAGCCTCATACATAGGCAGCTCAACCAATTTGCAAGTCACAAATTCAATGTCAATATAAGGGCATGGCTGCATGGATTGTAGAAGACAGGTTCAAGCAGAACTTGTTGACGCTACATCTTTTGAAAGGAATAATACAGAATAGTAGTTGTGCTTATGTGAAAAGAATAATTTCCCTTCCTGACATCCTGCATGCATACCTCCAGACCAAGCAGGCATAGCTTATGCTGAAACAATTACAAGGAGCAACTAAAAGATTCTGTCTCAATTGGAGATCATGGAATTATCAACTTCCCTGTCAAACCTAAGAGAAAACAGTATAGAAGAAACAACAAAACCATGTCTCTGGCATAAATGACCTGAAGAAACAAAGACATACACCCTAAACCCCAATAAATTCTAAATATTAGTTTTCCTATCAACATGTTCATTGCCATTTGGGAATGAAAAAAGATAACTTCCAAGCTTCCAGTATCCTTCACAAATACCAAAACCGCCTGTCAATATGTGATCTATGATAAGGCTTCTAATTAGAACTATCCACCAGCACTCACTATCTGGTCAGTAAATGCTCGACCTACCTAGACCAAGGCTCAGATTGAAAACTATAAACAAATTGCTTTACTTCCAAATACAGAGGATTATAAATATCAGAAGCACAAGTAAGAAACCCAAAAGAAAACAATAACAAATATGTCCTCAAACAATCCCATCCTGGGAATCAATTATTTTTAAATTGTTCATCAAAAGGGATTTAATTAAATCATGACAGGAATAATCAGACGAAAAGAACAAAACAAAAACAACTCTTAAAAGTAGTAGACTCACCAGAAATTTCACTGCTGTGTCTGTGAGGGCAGCAATTATACAGTAACGATCAAAAACTTCCCAACTGAAATTTCCAAATCAGTTGAATTTCATTCCTGAAACAGGAAAAGTACCAATTAGTTAAAAGGAGAACAAAAACAATAGCAGAACAAAGCTCCATATGGAAACTAAACAAATTCCAATCCCCACTAACTCACCACTCCCAAAGAAGATCTAACCCTAGAATTTAAAACGATTACAGAAGGGAAGATAAAACCCTAGCTCTACACAGCTAATATATTGAGTCCTCGTATCAATTCAAGAAGATTACGTAATTAAATAAAATATTACCATAATTAATACAACAGATTCCTGATTTTAATTACGCTAATCTTAAAATGGAAAAGAATTCATAACCCCCCCCCCCCCTCCTCCCCCAAAAAAAAGTGCAAGAAATCACGATAATTACAAGCGTGTGACACGCACTTCACCTTAATCAATAGCTCCAAACAAAAACCCTAGCTGTTTCACAGCTCCGACACAGAGGCGGCACCTCCTTCCTTCCCCTCCCTCCTCCAATACCTTTTCGCCCTTCACAAATTCACTCTACCGTTAGCGTTATCGAGCTTTCCCTCTGTGCAAAACTAGTGTTTCTTCGTCTTCTCTCCCTTCGCAAAACGCTTCCCTCAGTCTTCTGTGATGCGAATCCTTTGTCGTACCAGGGGTAGAAGAAAAAAGGGCTGCAGGAGTTTCTTCTTCGTTTTTTTATTTTCCTTTTATTTTTCTCTCGAATTTTGGGTTTTTTTTTTTTTTTTTTTTACCTTGTCAATTTTCTGGTGGGTTTTAGTTCAGAGTTGGGTAAATGCACGTGCGTGGCATGCGGAGAGAAATAAATTTCGGGTCGGGTCGATTAATACATCGGCTATGTCAGGTACGGGTTTTTCTTTTTTTCTCCCTTTTTTTTTTCTTGACAGGGATTGCACCGAAAACCGCGGTATGCTTTACAGCGTGGGATTTTTTTTCCGTAGGCGGAAGCTGAAAACGACAGGAGTATATCGTCGTTCTGGCGTTGTTAGCAGAAGAGTAGGTCCCACATTTTCTTTGAGTCACATGTCGAGTATACACGTGCAAGCTACTTCGATGTGGACTGGGAAGCTGACCGTTGTGGGTCAAGCCCACTGATTTATAAAGTCTATCCGTTTGTGGGCCCAAGCTTCCCTGGGCTCTGGCCTTTTTTGAATATAACAAGTGATGTTTTTATTAGTTTTTTTTTTTTTGGTGCATATTAGTTTTTTCATGGATAGAGTGGTGTATAATTCATTCTTGGGTGAGTCAATAATTAATAACTTAAAATTTTATGTTAAAAATCTTAAATTTGAACCTTAAGTTTGGTAACGAGTGATTTAAGGAAAATAAATGGTTATTTCTTATTACATAACCCATCATTATTAAATGTATCAAAAAAAAAATTCATACTTATTAAATTGTACAATATTAAATATTAGATAAGAATTAAGCACTTGATATTAGGGTTTTCTCATCTAATAATTTATATTTTATAATTCAGTATAGTTTGAAAGGTAAAACATGGTTACTTTCTTTTGTTGGCTAATTTTTATTTTTTAAAAACACTTTAATTTTTTTTGGATTATATTTATTTACTATTTTCATTTGAATGTAACGAGTGAATCAATATAAATTTATTCATTTGATATCATACGAATATTTATTATCAAGATATAATTGTCAATTATTTTACATTGTAAAAAAATGAGAGAGCGAGAAAGAGAATTCAATGTTTCTTATTTTCTAGTCATGTTCAATCCTTAAATGTTGTTCGTCAAACATTTTTCTTTATCTTCACACAATGTTATTATTGTATTTCAGTCA